GCTATTTTCTGTGTTTAGAAACCTCCTTCTCTGGGTCTTTTTATGATTGGCTCTCTTTTATCCCTGGCTGTCTTATCTAGTGATGCTCCCACCTCTCGTTCCCTTCACATTACCCTCTATTTTTTTCTTCGAAATATTTTTCACTATCATAATTACATGTAATGTGTCTGCAATGTGTTTCTCCCTACTAAAATGTAAGAACCATAATCCTTTCTTTCTAACCACTATCTCTCTGCTTAGAAAAGTACATGATACATAATAGGCACCTGGTAAATATTCTTTGGAAAAATTGTGATCTGTAAATAGCCAATAAGTCCGCTGGAGAAAGTTTCAATATTATTATCCACCATAAAATACAAATCGAAACTATACTACTGCATACCCATTAGTGAGGCTATAATCAAAAGCATGTTGGAAAGGGTATGTAGGAACTGGAAGCTTTATATTGCTGCTGGTAGAAAAAAAGCCGAGCAGTTTTTTGAAAGGTTAAATAACTGGGCATGGTGGTGCACACCTATAATCCCAGCACTTGGGAGGCTGAGACAGGAAGCTGAGGCTACATAATGAATTCAAGGCCAGCCTGAATTACAGAGCAAGATCCTGTCTCAAAAAAAGGTCAGATAATTACTGTACAACCCTGCAGTAGATCTCATGGGTATGCATCCAAGAAAATCAAAACATCAAATACAAACTTATACATAAATGTCCATAACAGCATAATTTGTGGTAGCCAAAGGGCAGGAATGACATGAATGTCCATTGAGTGATGAATGGATCAGTAAAGGTTGGTACATTCATAGAATGCAGTATTATTCAGCCATGAAAAGAATGACATTCCTGATACCTGCTACACATAGATAAACTTTGAAAATATGCTAAATTAAAGAAGTCAGCCACAATAGACTATGTGTTACAGAATTCCATGAAGTAAAATGCCCAGAATAGGCAAATCCATGGAAATAGAAAGTAAATTGATGGTTGGTCAGGGGTTAGGGAAAGACATTCAGACTGCTAAAAGGGTTTTTTTTGGAGAATAATGAAAAAATGATTGTGGTAATGATTGTACAACTCTGTAAATATACAGAAGTATCTTTGAAATGTGCATTTGACATGGGTGAATTATAAGGTATGTAAATAACATCTCAAATTTAAAAAAATAAAGGATTGTGGTTCTAATTTGGTCAGATTTACAAGAATACTACCACTGTTTATTCTGGTAGTGGGAACTTGTAATTTTCTTCATTGTCAGTAAACATTAAGGTCTGTGTATGAAGTTGTAGGGATGTATGTTTAAGAAATACTTTTCAGTTAGGCGTGGTAGTGTATGCTTATTATCCCAGCATTTGAGAAGCTGAGGCAGGAGGATTGCTTAAAGTTCAAGGCCAACCTGAATTACAGAGCGAGACTTGTCTCAAAAATAAATAAATAAATAAAAAGGAGATACTTTCCAGTGAAACAGGGTCTCGGTATGGTTCAGGGTGGCCTTGAATTAGTGGCAATCCTCCTGCCTCAGCTTTCTTTCTCTTTTCTTTTCTGTTTTTTGGTCTTTTTTGAGATAGGGTTTCGCCATGAAGTTCAGGCTGGCCTTGAGCACACTTTGTAGTCCAGGTTGGCCTCAAACTCACAAGGATCGCCTGCCTCAGCCTCCCTTGAGTGCTGGGATTACAAGCGTGTACCACCATGCCCAGCTCTGCCTCAGCTTTCTGAATGCTAGGATGATAGATGTGAGCCATCAGATACAGCTCTAGAGCCATTTGATCAGGCTTTATCAAAGTATAGTTTACATACAATAAAACGTACACATTTTATGTGCATAATTTGGCAAGGTTTCGTAAAATACCTGGTAACCACTGCCTCAGTCCATTTCCCAATGTATTCTTTTATGCCCCCTTTGACGTCAGCACCACCTGCCGCCTCACAGTAGCCAGTGTGCTGATTTCTATTCCTGTACCTTGGCATGCCCTTCTACTATTACAGTATATTACTACATTGCTATAATTTAAAACATTTTTGAATAAAGTAAAAGTTTAATAAAATTGCAATGTAAACTTGTTTGTTTGCAGCTGGGCATGGCTTCGCATGCCTGTATTCCCAGCACTTGCCTGTAATCCCAGCACTTGCCTGTAATCCCAGCACTCAAGAGGCCGAGACAGGAGGATCATTGCAAATTCAAGACCAGCCTGGGCTACAAAGTGAACTCAAAACCAACCTCAACTGCATAGTGAGACCTTGTCTCAAAAAGACAGAAAACCCCCCCACAAAACTTGGTAATGTGTGGAAGAAAAATATAATGATCCCTGAATAAATGAAAAGATTTAAAATATGCTAATATGTTAGAGTCAAGGGTGCTCATCCCTTTTCTCTGTAGGTGGAATAAGTTGAATGCAGTTACTTAGAATATTTGGTCTCAGTGATATTTCTAAATACCACTATTTCTAAAGTGGTATTTCTTTTATAGAGTTGTTTTGTCTTTTAGTTCTGACTTTAATAACTACTCAGAAAAGGCAAATAAGTGAACTCTTTATTAGTTTTAGTATTTTTGTAAAATACTATGTCTCACCGTTGTATGTGTGTGTGTGTTTTGGCCAAATAAAGATAGCCCTAATGAATAAAAGTATAACAATCTAATTATAGTGTCAACACAAGGAATAAGGGTACTACTTGTGGTATAGTGAGAGAAATGTACTAGAAATGTGATTTGGTTTTATGTTATAAGTTATATAGTCCATGTAGATTGTTCTGGCTTTAACTTGAAAAGATACACATTTTGACTTTGTTAAGCCCTTTTAACCAGTATAGATGTAAACATTATTATAATGAGTTTTTCATTAGACTTACTTTTTCTAATCATTATTGCTTAAGTGAAATGTCAGCTCAGAGCCAGGTACCAAACTTGATAACTTGCATGCATTGTTTCTAAAACCTCACAACAACTCCTAGAAGCATTATAGAAATACTATCTTTTTTTTATTAGAGACCGATAAAATTTAATATTATACTATATTGCTATAAAGTGCTATAAACTGTAACAACAATTACATACATTGGATTACAAATCTCAGGTCCTTAGCCCAGGAAAGCAATGTTTCTTATCTTAAGATCAATGTAATAAACCTGTCTATCTCCAGTGTGCACTGTCATATATCCTAGATGTGTGAAATGAGGCCATTATCTTAACAATGAGATGGTGGCTGGAGTAGATGTGTAACTCAGCCTAGATGTCATGGCTAATTAGTGGTAGAATTGGGATTGTTTTGTGGGGAGGGATGTTGGTCACATAGGTGAAAATCAAAATTTGAAGCTTAGAAGAAAATACAGTTATATATCTTTATAACATAGGGATAGAACAATATTTAAATAAGGAAAAATATCTACCCATAGAATACATGACTGTATTTGACTACCTTACTTTTATTTATTTATTTATTTCTGAACTCCTGGCAATCCTTGACTACATTACTTTTATTTTTGTTTTTGTTTTTGTTTTTTGAGATAGGGTCTCACTGTATAGTTTAGGCTGCCCCTGAGCTAACTATGTAGCCCAGGCTGGCCTCGAACTCACAGCGATCCTCCTGCCTCAGCCTCCCGAGTGCTGGGATTATAGGTGTGCGCCACCACGCCTGGAGGCTATGTTACTTTTAGAAATAAGTTTAAAAGGACACACTAAATGGCAATGACCAAATTTACTGAATGCTTCCTGTATACCAGCACAGTGCTGTATGTTGTTTGTGGGTACTAACATGTGCAGTAAATAAATATATAAAGACCTATAAAGGAATGACAGTGGGAATAAGCCACACCAACTTTAAGGTAGTACTTTTGGAAAGACCGGGCTCAAACTCATAATCCTCCTGCCTCAGCCTTCTACACTGCTGGGATTATAACCATACATGGCCTAAGAAGGGTTTTACTTCTAGAAAGGAAGGAAAAGAGTGTATATGTGCTGCTGAAGGGAGCACAGGAAAAAAAGAATGAAAAGGAGAAATTTAGTTATATTGACGTCCTGTTGTCTTTTTAACTATCCTATGTATGGTGGCAGTGGGCTGTGACTTAAACATTTTTTTTAATTAAAAATCTTGATTACAAGCCAGGCATGGTGGTGCACACCTGTGATCCCAGCACTTGAGGCTGAGGCAGGAGGATCATTGTAAGTTCAAGACCAGCCTGGGCTACAAAGTGAGCTCAAGGCCAGCCTGGACTGTGTAGCGAGACCCTATCTCAAAAAAGACAAAAAAAAGAGAAAATCTTAATTACAATGAGCATTTCACATGTTCATTGTGATAAGGAAGCCTAGAAAGCAAACATTAACTTCTCAAATTTAATGTTCTCTTACTTATTCACTCATTTTTCTCTGGTAGGCATCAGACTTAGAGCCTTGAGCATGCTGGGCAGGTGCTCTATCACTGAGGTACACACCCAACCCTAAACTCTGGATAAATTTTAATATACCCTATCAGGGGTACCAGTTTCCTGGCCAATAGCCAGTGATGTAGACATAAACAAACTGTAGTCTCCTCTATTTTTTTTTTTTTTTTTTGTAGTCTCCTCTAGAAGAAGGTTTGGTGTTTCTTTTATAGAGAATGGAGTTAAAACAACAGAAACCTGACTCATAATATTTATACCCAAGTGGTGAGATATCTACTTTGTTATGGACAAACACAGGGGAATCATCAGAGTTACTATACCAACAGAGAATGTTGGTAAATAGTAGAATTTGTTAAGCCATTGGTGAACTATATAATTTAAAGTGTTTAGAGAAAACTTACAAAAACTTCCCCATCTAGTAATGTGAGATTGGGATAAGTAGGGAAATTAAGTGTTTAAAAACACTGTAAGTGTAGAAGTTGAGGTAAGGTTAACATCCACGTGGATCAGGGCTGCTGTTTGGAAGGGGAATCTGAGTAGCTGTCAATTTATCCAGCTCTGTTGGTCTTGAGTATTTAGATGCAAAATTATGTCTGTGGCCATTTGACATCAATGTTGTTGATGTTTTTGTTAAGGCAGCTAAGAATGGAGCAACGGGTGTGGAGTTGGACATCGAGTTTACCTCTGACGGCGTTCCTGTCTTAATGCATGATAACACAGTAGACAGGACGACAGATGGGACTGGTCGGTTGTGTGATTTGACATTTGAACAAATTAGGAAACTTAATCCTGCAGCAAATCACAGACTCAGGTAAGTAATTTATTGTTACTTAAACATACCTTTTAGCCTTTCTTGGAGATCACAGATCAGCACTGGTACCTTCTAATTACATCTTTTGCTCCAGGAGAGTTGCTGTGTTTTGAACTGTATACAGGTTTCCAAGTAATAAGCTGGTGCCAGGAATAACAGAAATACTGTACGTATATTTTTAATCTTTTCCACTGAGGCCAAATTGGGCCTCAGAATTATTCTCAAGATAGTACTCTACCTAGTCATTAACATAGTGTTTATTTTGTACTATCGTTTAAATTGTAGACTCAATCATAAGGCTGAAAGAAATTGCTTGTCAGTCTTCTTGTCTTTGGGTATACGAAGAAACACATGATAAATTCTTTAAAAGCTTATGGAGTAACACCACCTTTTAACTAGCCTTCAGATTTTTATAACGAGCTTTTGAGGGATCATAGAATTTGAGGAGTGGGAAGTATCCTAGGAATTATCCAGAATGGCACTGTCTAGTAGCACTTTTTACGATGATGGAAAGGGTCTATTTTTGCACTGTCCATTATGGTAGCCAACTGTGGCTGTTGACAGCTTGACATGTGACTAGTACAATTGTGGAACTGAATTCTTAATTTAAATGCAAATTTAAACTTAACTCGTCATAGGTGATACCATATAGCTCTAGATTAATCCTACTTTTAGAGATTGTCCCAGAAGAGTTAAGTGACTTACTCAAGGCAAATAACTAGTTCTTCAAGAAGCCACATATCCCATTTCCGCTCCAGAGAAGCATCCACTGTACTCCGTTGTTTCTGGCTGTCTTTTCTGTTTCTCAGCACTGCAAGGCTTGAAGTTCTTTCAGATGTCTGATTTAATCATGTTCTGGTATAGTTTAAACTGATAGTTCCCAAAGGATGGATGGATAGATGGATGGATGGATAGATAGATAGATAGATAGATAGATAGATGGAATTGATCAGCTAGTCCTATAAGTTTACAAGAAATCTAATCAAGTACTGTACTCTGAATACCCTTCTGGGAGATAGAAGAGTCCACATCAATCCTTACCTTTAAATTAACATTTCTCAAACATGGGTGACCACAGAATCCATACCATTCCCCCATTAACAGCTTATACCTGCCCCTGGAATTGGTATTGGATAATGTACTTTGGATTGTGGTTATTTAAATCCCTCTCCTTTTTCTCCTTTGGGTTGGTTATTGTGTTGGGTTTCTTGAGACATGGTCTTACTATGTAGTTAAGACTGGCCACAAACTTGCCATGTATCCCAGGTTGAGCTTGAGTTCATGATCCTCCTAAATGGCCTCCTAAATGCTGGAATTATAGGTGTGTACCACCATACCTGGCTGTCATCTTTGTAATAGGGAAAAATATGTGCTTAGTGTTTTACATGTAACACCAATTCTCTGGACCATGATCAATACTCTTTAAATATTGAGTATTTGACCCAGTGTTGAAGTTATAATCTTCTTTAAAAGTGATTCACATCTGTGCCTCTGGGAGGCTGAGATAGGAGCGTTGCAAGTTCAAGCCCAGCCTGGGCACTTTAGTGAGTGACTTAGCAAGACCCTGTCTCAATATAAAAAATGAAAGGACCGGGGACATTACTCAGTATGAAGGCCCTGGGTTCAGTCTCTAGTACCACCAGAAAAAAAAAAAAAAAGATGGTTCAGAAGCTTAGTAGGTTGTGAAAGAAATCAGTGATTCTTCTGACTGGAGAGAATACTGATAAATGAGGTCTGCAGGCTACTGGGATTGTCACCATCATCCATTATTCAATTGCTGTGGTATATAGGGGGAAACCTGGTTTTAATATTACAGTGACATTGCAGCTACAGTAATAAAATAGAAGGCTCAAGGGTAATTTTTTTTTTTTTTTGGAGACAGGGTCTCACTCTGTACTTCAGGCTAGGCTTGAGCTCACTGTGTAGCCCAGGGGGCCTCAAACTGTGGCAGTCCACCTCCCAAGTGCCAGGATTATAGGCAAGCCCGGCCCAAGGGTAATTTTTAAAGTAAAAAATACTTGGGATTAGCATCATCCTTAAAAAGCCTTTAGAAGAAACCATATCAGATAAGAAGGCACCACCATGTTGGAGTTGGTGTACCACATTACCATTTTTAACAGTCTTTGCTCCACAACTGGAATAGGTTGTCTTTTCTTATGCTCAGTGTAATCTTTGCTCAACCCGAGAGGGGAGTGTAAAACTAAAACTGCCCAAAGGAACAGCAAATTCAGGTCTCCATCTTTTTTCCTAGAAAATAGACATGGACTAGAATGGCTGGCAGATAGGCCTATAATGCTTTTTTTTTTAAGATTTTTTAAAATTTTATTTTAAAGATAAAAGAGCCAGGCGTGGTGGCGCACACCTGTAATCCCAGCACTTGGGAGGCTGAGGCAGGAGGACTGTTGCGAGTTTGAGACTAGCCTGGGCTACAAAGTGAGCTCAAGGCTGGCCTGAACTGCACAGCGAGACCGTGTCTCAAAAAGACAAAAAAAAAAAAAAAAAAAAGAGAGAGATAAAAGAAAGAAAACATATTAACAAACACACATACATTTACAAAATAACGTAAAAACAGTACAAGCCATACAGAATTTCAGACAAGGTGATAGAAAATGAACAATGGTTGTTGTGTTATATATTGATATCTTCAAATTGGTTACTCAGGTAAACAAACAGGCATATAAGATTATCAAACAATTAAACATTAACTGTTCCTTTCAATAAAGCAATAGAAGTATAATAGATATTCTAAAAGTTAAACTGCTCCAAAGTAAAGAACAACTGGGATGAGGGAAAAGAGAAAAGAAAGAAAGGGAAAATTATGTATATATGTATGCACAGGATAGCTAGCAGTTGTACTACTGACTTCTATTGCTTTATTGTAATACTTAAATTATTCTTACCCTTTTTTAATACCAAGATCCTAGAGATGAAATAATATAGTTAAATGAGCCAAAAGTTAAATCATGTGGGATAAAATTTTATTATGAGAAAATAGTTTTGTTTTGTTTTTGTTTTTTGTTTTGGTTTTGGTTTTTTTCCGGTACTGGGAATCGAACTCATGACATTGCGCTTGCCAGGCAGGTGCTGTGCCGCTGAGCTAAATCCCTAGCCCAGATGAGAAAATAGTTGATTTCTTGTGTTTGGCACTTAAATCTTCATTTTTTTTATCAGAAGTTTATATAGAAAATTATTTCAAGCAGTTCCACTTAAATAAATGCACAGAAGTACAGTTGATAGATTTATATATTTCTAAGAATTTCTCCTGCATAGAATTCTGTTGGGAAAATTAACTTAAAATTAAGTTTCTGGGGCCAGGCATGGTGGCGCATGCCTATAATCCCAGCACTCGGGAGGCTGACGCAGGAGGCTCCTTGCAAGTTTGAGACCAGTCTGGGCTACAAAGTGAGTTGAAGACCAGTCTGAACGGCATAGGGAGGCCCTGTCTCAAAAAGACAAAAAAAAAAAAAAAATACTAAGTTTCTAAGTTTTCCAAAGATGGCATATACTCTGCCTGTTAGGAAGTAGAGTTACTAATTACGTTATCGGTTCAGTGATCTCCTAAATGTATTTGTTGTTGCTGTTGTTCGCTGGCCAAGAATATAATGTAATGTGGCTCAAGTACTTATAGTAAATTATCACTAGACTTGGCTAGGTTGAAGAAAGGAAGTCCTGGGGGAGAAGTCTTCTCACTTGTTGCGGGGCATTTGCAAAATGTGTATCCCATTAAACTTTGCTCTGCTTCCTGTAATGTTCTGTTCCTTCTCCCTGTCTCATAGGAATGATTTCCCTGATGAGAAGATCCCTACCCTGAGGGAAGCCGTTGCAGAGTGCTTAAACTATAACCTCACCATCTTTTTTGATGTCAAAGGCCATGCAAATATGGTACAGTTTATTCTGTGGGCTTTACTTTGTTAAAGGTCATCTTATTTAATTGTTAATCATTTCCAAAAGGATATATATTTTTTATTTTTACAGATTATAACATACTTATTTAGTAGAAGTATATAATGCACAAATCCACATCTTGAAGGAAACAGTAAATTATGAAACTATTTTATTCTTTTATGATGAAACATTTTAACTTTTGATATTCTAAAACCAGCAGAAAATGTGTCGTTTCATTAATTTACATAAAGCTTTTACAAAAGATTATTAAATAAACAGTATAAAGAGGCACATGGGGAATAGAGTAGCCTCCAAAACAGGAATACAGGAGTTGTACATAAGTCCTGTTCAATCTGGCTGAAGAGTTAAATGCACTGCATTTAAAGAGCACTTTGTATTTAAAGCTTCTAGTAGCTAACAGCAGAGTTCTGATTATGTTAATTTTAACCAGTTTAAACAATTGATAAAGGTTGATATATAAA